CAAACTATGTAAAATATTGTAAATTACACACAGCACAAGGCGAAGGGAAAGGATAAATTATTAGTCTCATTTAGTTTAAACTATAAAATAGTTTACGTATCCGATTTCGGTATTAATTATGGAGATATTTGATATTAGAAGCTAAAAATTTGGATACATACGCATGTAACACAGAAATTTGGTCGTTTAAATTCACTCGCGGGCTTTTAAACGGGAAAAGGGTAATTTTTGTTAGTGATTATAATATATGCACAATACTTATTTTTCTTTTTTATCGGTGCGAAATGAAGTTTACCAAATCTATTGTTGATTTTTGCATGACATCGTGAAATATTAAAATTTTTTAATTATGTTCAAGCCGAATAATTTCATCCGTTTTTAATACATCATATCAAGCTAAATAAGATATAATCCATTTTACGTATATTTAAAATATTTGTATAATACTATTGCAAGATGTATATGCTGTTAATATACAATCATTATTATCATTCAGATTTACCTGTGAGCTTTCAACAGAAGCAAAATATAAAAGTGAGACTTACGAAATTTAAGGAGACGATGAACCATTCCATAATTATTTATTTTAAAAAGGAAGATTACTTATTGTCTATATAGATGATATATTATGCATAGTTTACACGTAGACGTAGACTATCGTATTTTACGTACAAACATCCAAACTCTACGTCAGACCAATCTTCGTCAGACTATTCCCTCGAAGTGTTTTGCGGTTCAATCGGTCGAGAGTAAAACTACTTTTTGTGCGAGTTCCACAAAAAGTAATTCTTGGAAACCTTTTGGAAGAATGGAAATTGGGTGAAATTTTCTCAGTCAAATCGAGTGAAATTTTCTCACCGGTCGAGCCGTCGTCAAGCAAAGCTGATACACAGAGCGTCCAGATTTTCCGCGCTTTCGTTTATGCAAGGATCTTTTGGTCAACCGCATGGTTTACGCGTTGCCGGATCATGCGTAGCTTTACGCGGATGACGGAGTAGAGGGGATCTTCGTGGTCGCGAAAAGCTCCTTCGGAAAAGGTTAAACGCACTGTCGCGGCTCCCGAAGCGAACACACACCTTCACCTTCGGTTCTTTGCACTTTTAGCGGCCGCATATGGCAGCCGCCGCTCTCGATGCCTACTCGAAAGCACTTTTATCGCGATGCAAGGTGCACCGGTTGCACGGCGTTTTATCGTCTCGCGCTCGTATCCGCCGCGCGGAAAGTCACGCACACCAACCCAGTACCGACCCGAGAATTTCTCCGATTCCAAGCCGCGGATCTCAAAATGATGCATCCTCCACGAGTGCGCTGACCTTTATTTGCCGAGAGAAATAATTCGAAATTCAGGAAGTTGCACTCATTCTTACGCATACGATGCGAAACAAAAGTTCCGAGTCATAGACATTCTTCGACGCACTTGAACTGTCTTGAAGATCACCGGTGACCTGCACTGTGACTTTGCCGCGTCTCCTTAACCCTTTTAGTGCCGAACGACGATATATCGTTGCGTTTTATATTGATGTCATTCGTATGATTTTCAACAAATATTGAAATACAATTGGCGTTACCTGATTCTTTCTTTATTTCGTAATATGCTGCTTTTCGCATTTTGTAAATATCATTTTTAGTTTGGTTTTTATGAGCTTTTTCCCAAACCTTAGCAAATTCGTCGGCAAATTGGCTCGGTATTCTTCGCATAGGTACGATACTTTTCCTCGGCACTAAAAGGGTTAATTTACGCGTAAAACACGATTAATTGCAAATTAAGTATTTCAGTCGATTAGGAACAGACAAAATCTAGTCAGCGAATATATGCGTCAGGAAATGCGTGTATTCGCTGTAACTTGGTTACGGGGTTGTCTTAATTGTTTTATCCGAGCTTTAATTGAACTTGGGGCACGTTGTGCACGGTAAAAATTTTATGTTAAAAACGATCCGCCGAAATTTTCGTATTGCTTTAACACGGGAAATATATTAAAAAGTACACAAATATACGTTAAATTAACATATCTACCTCACGTCTTACTTTTCACGTCTTACTTTTTGCCTATTTTATATAATTTTATGGAGGATATTGTGAAGGATATTAAAAGATACTTAATACATACACCTTGTTAAAATAACACAAAAATTTGAGTGGATCATTTGCAACACAGAATTTTTTACCATATACGTACATGGTGTGTTTTCTATAGAAGTCACTATGACAGTCAACGTGTTAATTGAAGGTTTCCTTAAGTTAAACGCAAAACATGACTGATCACATCCAGCAATTGAATATTTGCATACAGAATTAAACATTGCAGTCCATAGGTCGTCGGGAGCTAAAAAATCCCCTGAAGAATACATGCATCAGGAAATGTGTATTCACTGTAACTTTAGTTATAGGGAGGGGGGTATAATTTTAATTATTTCCGAATTATATCATTCGAGCTGTAGCTGAGCTTTGGAACGTTCCATGGAAATCGCCGCGACAGTCAACGTCTTAATTGGAGGTCTCATCGAGATAGCGTCCTGATGCGCTTCTCCGCATATTCGAGGACGTTAATGAAAGTCAGATCTTTTCAGAACGCATCCGTATTTTCGAAATGGAAACGGAGACTGCTCAGAAAAGCGAGTTTACCGTGCCAAAGGCTTGCTTTGCTTGCGACGCAGGCCGGCCCTGGGCACTTCACGCTCTCTTGTGTCGATACGATTTTACGACTTGGCGACAACATTCCTTACCTACGTAGTAGTTCTCACTTCTTTCTTCACTCTTCTTTTTTTCTTACAACTTCCGCGTGACACCATTCGGAGGGCTCACAGGAACGACCCGAAGTATGCCTCGGAAACATCCGTCGAGACTCGGCGAGTTTACTCGTGGATTTCGCCAGGAGAAGCGAAATCCCACGCAAATGGAAATTACTTTCCATTCAGCGGAGTCGGTCCTCGAGCTTTATTCCGCGGTTTCCGGGATTCCCGGAAACGTTCGCTCGCTCACGCACGCGCGTATCCACGCGAAGGTGATTTAAAGTCTACCTTACAACGCCCTCGTGCGATCTCGGCATTTTAAATGCGGACACGTGTTTTATGCCGAAAACCAGTTTCCACGGCCGCGTCGCTGCGGCGATCTCGCGTACCCCACGGAGTTCCATTACTTCCCGTTGCAGTTGTACATCGGTTAATCATTTCCTCCATTCTTAGTACAGTGCCCTCTCCGTCGCGTACGCGTCGTGTACAACGGTGTGCGCAGCTACGTCGCAGATACTCTATTAATATCCTCTGATTTCAACGGATTTCTCGTCCTTCGCGAATCGCTACCGGAAATTCGATAATTTCTATGCGCATTCGAAATGCCGCCCGTAATGTCCTCCCTTTCTTCTCGAGATGTACTCGCGTGAGGATTTAAAAAGGTTTCGCTACGGGTGCGCAACGTGTACGCGCATATATTCCACCGGTGTCAACAATTGTCGCTCACAATGTAAAAATCAAATCGCTCTCTCTTGTAAATTCACGTATCTCTCGTGAAATCGCGATCCACGCTTTTCGTTGCAGAATTTTCACGGATGAGATACGCGGTATTAACCGCACTGAAAGAAAAAATGCTACGTTCAAGTAAATATTTGCTAAAGGATATTAGAGTAATTTGTTTAATTATGTTATTTTGAGTTAAGTAAATATTACTTGAGTGTAGCACACTGAAAGAAAAAAGTAATGCTACATTCAAGTAATATTTATTCAATACAAGGAAAATAAATATTCCGATATTCCTTAGCAAATACTTGAAAGTATGCAGTAAAAAATTTGGTGTTAAAAACGGTCCACTGTCATTTTTGGATCACCTTTAACGAGGTGAATATGTTAAAAAGGAATATATTAACAAGATGATTATATATTAATATGATTATATATTTTATGATTATATATTAATTTGACATATATATATATATATACGTTTTAATATATTTCTCCGCAAAATAACAAAAATGTTAGCGGATAATTTCTAACACATAATTTTATACTCCGTAGTACTTTTTTCATTCAGTTTTTAATGAAGTACCTACATTTTTTTTTACTCACTGGATTCGTGACGTCAACTATTAAGATCATTTGCCGAGATATCAAAAGTAACATAAAACAAGCACGACCCTCGCAGAAAATGTTTTGGGATCTAATTGGAATTCAATCCGATTTGACAAAATAATTATGAACTTTAGTTGGGAAATCTTCACAGATACTGGTTAGAAACGTCATGTTTCAAACGTACGATTCTAAATGGAATACAGAAACAAATCGTATTTAGTCACCCCCAGCGTTTTCCTACAAACTTTTCTTCTTGTCCATTTTATGCTACAATTGAGCGAAACTCGCAAAACACTTTAAACATTTACACTTTGCACATACACATACACACACCACGCCCATACTATTAAGCATAATAACACGAAAAATATAACCTCGTGAATCCTCCTAATCTGATATCCGGTCTGATATCAAACTGTCACTCGATTCCGGCAATAGAGTTCCGATAACAGGGTTCTGGGAACAGACTCGGATGACAGTCACACGCGACGCGGGCCGCAACGCGCGGGCAATCAGCGTCGCGGGAAAGAGGCTCCATCCCAAATTTAAGATAAAATTAGGATTCCCAATTGGTATCACAATGAGATAACATATTTCGGGACGACTTCGGCCGTTTCTAAATCGGATTTACGCTGTGTATAAAAAATGTAGGCAAATTTGTACGCGGGGAAACTGATTGTCGGACGCATTCTCCCTCCGGTCGAAAGTGTCGGTGGAGGCTGAGTTTCACAAAAAATTCCCGGACGAGATGCGCTTTCGGTTCGGGCAACTTTTTACTCGACCCCCTCCCCCCGTCTCGCTCTGGTCGCGCGGCCGGCAGGGCTTATCTAGCGTCTCGGTGTTGGTTGACACCGCGTTGGTATTGCCACACGGCCGCGTTATACGTGCTCTTTCGTTACTGCGGCTCAGTTCGCTCTCGCGCCTCGGCAGCGCGTAGGCTTCGCTCCCGGTGCTGCGCGCTCGCCGCCATGCCCTGACATTTTCCTCTCCGGCGGGCCGCCCAAAAGCACCACTGCTACTGACGATTGCGGCAGTCCGCGGGATTCCGCCGGTGCACCGTCGTTCGGCGCGAAACATGTGAGAGACATTCCGGAGTGTCGGTGGCCGCGGCGGGACGCGCGCGCGGACGCTTCTCGGTGAACGCGAAGAATGCGAAGTGCGATAACGGCGCGAGGAACGAGTGCTACCTGTGACGTGTTCCGGAGGGAGTGGGGGAGTCGTCGTGGTGTGTTCGTGCGGGCCTAATTTCAATTAATGATCTCCGTGCTTCCATCCGATTGAGTCGCCGTGACGAAAGGAAGGCTCGAGTGCGGAAGATAGCGCGAAGAAAGTGAGAGAGAGAGAAAGAAGACGACGTTACGACGAGGAGGAAAGGGGAAGAGAGAGGGGTAGAAGGACGACGCGCGACACACCGCGCCGGTGGATGCAATTTACGAGCACGGAGAATGCCAGCACCTGCAGCACGCGGTGAAATATCGACAGCCCTTCTCGTCGCGCGCGATATAATAAGAAGAGACGTCGGGAACGGCGAGAGGAGCTGCCCGCGAAGAGATGTTAATGGAGCCGGCTCTCTCGCGCTGGCGCGTCGTCGCTCCGAAATGCATTCTTTCGAGAGATCTCGCTGCAGTGCTCGGGAGACCGCGCGCCGACGCGGTTGATAAGCTTCATCTCGTACGCGCGAAGTACGATCGTCAATCAAGCGGGCTGTTCATCCTTAACGCGCGTCTCGGCTATAGTTATAATTAAACTCTCGGCCGAGGTTGCGCGCGCGACGCCGCGTTGGAGAGAGAGAGAGAGAGTGCGTCGAGGCCGAGGAAACCCGCCGCCTGGCCGCGCCGTCACGATAGTGAAAGTTAACCAAAAGTAAATCAGCTGTGATAAGTTACGTAATCGAATTATCTATGATAAACCTATCGCGCGGACACAACCGCGTGTAACATATATAACTATTTATCGGCGCGGAAGAAAGGGAAAGAGAGGGAGAAGGACGATCCCGGGTCGAGCAAGTCGATCCGTGAGAAGGAGACGCGGAAGGAGGATCTCCGAACCGATTTCACGGCGCAACGGAAAAGTCGCGTGCAGCGCGGGATCCCCGCGTTAAATTTCGCGGCCCGGGAGAGTCGCGATAACACTGCGGCTTCCGGCGGGAAAAAGAAAGACTTCGTCGGACGCGCGCCGAGCGAGTTAACGATAAGCTTCCCGACGAGGCTCGTCGGGAGGGGACGGAGGGGGGAAAAAAAACGAAAAACGTAGTGATCCGGGGGAAAATGGAGCTGGTGAAAAGCGGCGCTATCGAGATGCTGTCTCGCCGGAGTGTAGCGATAAAGGATTACAGTGCCGAGAACGGCGAGGATGGGGACGAGGAGCGATGCGACGAGAGCGATCGGACGTCCCTCAAGATCGACCTCTCGATGGCGGAGCAGTTCTACTATGAGGTTATCTCGTCGTTCGAACAGGAGGAGGTAGATAGCCCGACACGCCTCTATTAATTCATTACGCTTCCCGCCTTGCTCATCTCTCGCTCTCTTTTTCTCCTTATCTCTTTCTCTCTCTCTCTCTCTCTCTCTCTCTTTAACGGGATATCTAAGCGCCAAATTATTTATTTATTTTTTTGTAGTAGCGCCAATATTGTATAACACTTTTATACCTAAGGGGGCCTCCCCAGAGTCTAATTAAACTCTACTCTACTCTACTCTATCTTTCTTTCTCTCTCTAGTTCTCATTCGGTTTCACAATCGCGCCGCCGGCCTGAGAATAAATAAAACGGTCGGCGAGCAGGAAAAATTCGCGAAGAGGCGCGCGGCTGACGCATTATTTTCAAATCCAACTCGGTGCGCGCACCGAGAAAGGGGTGGAATCGTTGGGAAATCTCGCCGAGCGCGAGATCAATGTTGTTGAATTTTTAAAGCCGCGACATCCGGTTGTCTCCCTAACGACCGCAGCGTTTTTTGCATGTGCTCGATACACGAGTCATCGGTCAGTATCGCGAACACGGAGGTCGTGACGACGGTAGGAGCCGTGTGATCAAAGCAGTTGGTCCGTAAATTTATTTTCTTCGGAATTTCCTTTCGAATTTTAACGACATATTAACGAACGATTTGCACATATGTGAAATTGGAGGAAGATCGACCATCCGGAGATATCTGAAGTCAAAGTTAGCGCTACTTGCATCACGGATACGAAAACTGCTTCCGATATCATCGTTTTTAATTCTAGCGATGAAACTATTCTTATATATACTCTTATGTATACATATGTATACTTACACACGGGACAGTCCCAGTCGACGCATTATTTGTCTATTTATCTATTTATTTATTTATAAAAAGAACCCTCATTTAGAAAAAAAGATGCGTAGAAATCGAAATTACAATTGCAACATTGAATTATGTGATGCAATTTTGACACAATCAACGTAGGAAAAGGAGCATCGTGAAATTGCTCGGTTAACAATATAACACTGGTATTACTAATCGCTTAACCCTTTCAAGGCGGTTTTTTTTCCAGGATATATAAAAATATTCTTTTGGAAATTTTAGTCATTAGATATGTTAATATTCATTTTTATGTATAAAACAATGCCGACGAGAGTCAACATCGTTGTTAAACATGAATTTACATTAGAAAACTGAATGGCAAATACTATATTTTACCGCAAAAAAGACGCTCAGTCCTGAATTTAACCTTAATGGCACATATATGTATCAGGGGTCTCGAAGGGGTTAGAAATTACTAATTCTGAAGAGATGGGATCACACGTTTGTAATTATATTATACATCGGAGCGCGAGAAAACGATTGTTTCTCCACGAGTTCTTGCACAAACATTATACAGATTTGCTGAACGTTCTCTCGCGCTCTAGTGTGTGTTTCGACAAAGTTATACAGCACAAGTATCATGTTGCGAAACATTTAGCACAGATTTGTCGAGTCCCTTCGTGTTGTATTAACTTTTTCAGCGTCAGCCAAGAACCTTCGGAGAAGAAATATGACAGACGAGCACGTGCCTCGAACGTCTCTCGCGCCCTGTCGATTCGTCGTCGAACGCGAATTAAAGCGTCGCTTTAATCTCGCCGTTGCGGCAAACGTTTTAATAGTTTACGAGTGCGACGCCTCCTCTTATGGCGGGCGCACAGCCTCCGTGATAAGCTCGGACGGACCAGAGGGTTTTGGCAACGTTACAGAACGCCGTTTATTTTAGCTCGAGTCGGTACTTTATGCATATTTGTACGCGGCCCGGCTGTCTCGGGCGAAATGGAACTCGCAGTCACGCGTTGCGCGCGACGACGACGACGCCGATTGTGCGACCGTCCGATTCTACGCGACTATCAATTTTCCGCATCAAGTCGCCGGGCGTCTTCATCCGTCCACTTCTCTCCTATCTTCTCATCTCGTGCTTTCCGCATCTCCTCTTTGACCTACGATAACAATCCCCGAAACGATGTTAACGACCGCGCTTACTTTTCTTTCTTTTTCGTCGCATCTTCGCCTGCAGATTTCGTGAGTCCGCTTCGTAACGTCCTCCCGGCGCATAAATCGCATGCCTTTACATATACACGGAAAAATGCTCAGTTCCTGAATTCAACAACTGAGTGGGCAGCAGGAAATTCGATGATATGAAATGAAAGGTCGATGATAAGAAACGATAGGCGATTTCTTCGTTCGTCCGTTCGTGATTCGAACGTTCGCCTGAGAATCTCGAAACGTACCTCGAAACGCGAACGTGCTGCATCCATACGCTGAGAACCCACTTAGTTCTATCAAATCAACTAAATTCTTCTTTGGCTATGGGCGAGCAAATTTCTCGGTTGTAAGAAGCAAGGTTAAGTCCTCCGAACCTTTGGTTCGGTTCTTTGCGACTTCGGAAACTTCGGAGAATCGAACCTTCGGGTTGAGACAAGCAAACTTTGGTTGTTACCAACAAATTCGTTCGGCCATAGTGAAACAAGAATTCAATTGATTCAATCAAATGGGTTCTCAGTGTGGGTCTGCACGGATGCAACGTGTCTACGATTTCCAGCCTTGAATTAGAAAGTGGGAGCACTGAGTGCGGTTGTAACCGATCGTCGGTGTGAACGGTGACTCCGCGATTAATCGATTCGCGAGAGAGCGATGACTTGGAATGACTTAGAGAATGCCGATGCCCGTGGGCAAACCGAGTTTTAGCTGCTCGAAACGAGGAATCGATCATCGGGTGATCGAGTGGTCCCCGTCCGACTCGCGACAGCCTGCTGCTTTCCGATTCGCTCACGCGTACCTCTGCCGTGCGATCCGCTGGTCTTCTCTTTTCGACGAACGCGATTTCGCGATGTGTCGCGCGACACGTCGTGATTCACCGGCCGACGAACCGGTTGAAGGCTCCCAGCGCGTGGAACCCGACGGTTCCCGAATCTTCGCTGAGATTCTCAGGCGAACGTCCGAATCTCGAACAGATGAGGAGAAATGATAGTGCGAATGGGAATGATCCGTACGAACATTTAGCCGTGTTAAAACCCAGTTGAGGTAATTGAGAGCGCAATTGACTGAAGAGTAACCTCCTACAGGGATCTTTCTGTTGCTACAACTAAAGTTTCGTCTGGTCTACGCGCAGTGGAAAATTCAATTCTCAAAGCTCAACATTCGAAGCTCCTGTAATATCACAATTATGGATCGTCGTTATGTCGACCAATATTTCTTTATAACTTCTTATAAATTGCTTCTTATAATTTTTTTCTCTATAATTTCTTTGTAATGCGACAAACTGGCGGATTGAGGTCATACATATATGACACAGCAGTCGTCAAAGTGTTATCAGGGTGTTAATCAGGGATCCGGACCGAAATCGAAAACCGTGTGGAAACCGATATTTTTGTCGGACCGGCACCGTACAGAAATTTTATAAAGTCTACAGAACCGGAACTGAAATCGGAACCGTTACATTTTTTTTTTTTGGTTTGCTTCTGGTTTGATTTTTTTTTCGATTTACTATTTCGGTTCTTATTCTGTGATTTTAAACAATTGTTTTTTTTTTCGTTTCATAATAAAATTCTAGTTGTCATCTAGTTGTCAAAAAACAGAACATTGATTAGTTATCGCGACAAATAGAAAATAAATTCCAAACATACGATATTGAACAGGAGAGGATTGATAGAAGAAGTAATATATTACAATCTTTGGGTAAATAGAAAAACAATCATCCTGAATTCTACAAATTACTCTGACGGAACATGTTTATTCTGAGAAAGTCTGGAAAATATCGAGATATTATCTGAATATTCTTAGAATCTACATAATTTACATCTTCCGTTAAATAGGGGTTATAAATAACGAGGATAATATTATATATCCTAGAAAGTTAAGGGCAGAAGATAGAAATAGTGAAAAAATGCTATCTACGTCGAAGAAGTGATATTATTATTTTTTATAATATATTATTGTACAAACTATATATATATATATATATATATATATATATGTGTGTAAAATTTAATTATATATAATTAATTATTATGATTATATATTATATATATAATATATATACAATTTAAGTCAATAAAAATTTCAGTAAGGAAGTAAGTTTACAGAACCGGAACCGGAAGGAACCATAATTTAAACGGTTTACCGGTATTTTCATTGTCCGAAAAACCGAAACCGGAAGCTTTACTAAATATTTTAGCGAACCGGACTTTTCATTCGGTCCGGGTTCCTGGTTATAATCTTTCCCATTCCGAGTTCTCGCGCAACCCTCTCACACGACCGTCTGAAATATTGATATACGTCCAGATACGTTAAAAGCGCGTTGGAAAAAGAGAAAATCTCGCCGAGGATAAGCTCGGGTCCGAGTGTGCAAGCACACATCCCGCGATTATCGCTCTCGAAACCGTCCTTTCCCCCTTCTCTTTTTTCCTCACACGCACCTGCAATCTCGCAAGTCACTGCTTCTGATCACCGCGTGATCTGCATCGCTCGGCGGGACGAGCGTGGCGCGTTTCGCGAGAGGCGGACGCTCGCGCAGGCCGGCGAAGAGCTTAGATCCCAAGGCGAACCAGTTGCCCTGATAAAACGACGTAATAAATAATGCTAGCCGTAACGCGAGCGCCGCGAGGATCATCGTCTTAAATGTAAGGCGCGTTCGCTCTCGCGCGGCACGCCCACTAAATTGTCAATCGGCGTAGCATCAGCCGGAGCGCAGCCGAGACCGCGGCTGTAAAGCACGCTCGTTATTCGACCTATTAAATTATTTACCGTTCCCGCTCGGTCGGATGTACGAAACGCTCCCTTTATCCTTCCGTCCGTCGTGCAACCGGTCGCGACGGCCGCGCGACTGCAATGACGGACGGACGGACGAGATCGGCGCGAGTGCGTGGGACTTTAAATTAACGATATTGAGCCGGTCTCGTTGCCTGCACCCCCCCCCCCCAACTTCCTCTCCGCGAATTTGNCACTTGTACTTCCGCTCGATCGTCACGCTTTCCCCGAAGCTC